GTATATTTTAAAAAGGAAGTTGTACAGCCTTAAAAAAAAAGGAAACTGATTGTGTAACAGTAGTGTTCTGTAGTACTTAAAATGACATTCACTACTCCTGCTTTTCATTAATAAACTCAACCAAGTAATTTTTATATGATATGTTTTATTTTTGTCTATATAGTGGTAATAGATATTGCAACTAATAAGTAAAAAAAACAAAACAAAAAAATCACCCATGAGACTGTCATAAGAGAAGTGGATGATTTTACACCAAAGCATCCCTTAGAAAACAGTTACTTGCAGTTTTCTCGGACTCTACTGGCCTCCACTGAAGCAGTGAAACTTTTCCAGCATGGCCAAGTGCTGAATTTCACCTCCATGGCTGCAAAAAGAACAAATACTACAGCAGCTTCCTAACAACGTACAGCCAAAATAAGTAATAAGGATGCTCCTGGAGAAACAGTGGACACCACTTATGCCTCCCACAGGTACTCTAGGCTTGAAAATGTCTGTGTAGTCCCAACCCAATCCATAGCAGGCTACTTGATTATCCCAGGTTCAACTGTTTGGATAGCCTGTTCCTGTGAACACCCAAGCCAGCAATAATGTAAATAATAATAATGCTGAGTACAACCTCCCTTGAGAGAATTCAATAGCTTTGATTTAAAACTTCTGTACTAGTGAAATGTGACAGAAACAATAAACATCTTTTGGAAATTTATGCTCCCCAGAAACTGAGGAAGATACAGTGGTAATACATCTTACGTTTGTCATCCATCTTATTTTCACTTTAATTTTTAGGAAAAAAAATACTGCTTGTAAAGAATCTATTTTGCAATAAAATGAATCTGCGGAAGCAACAATGAGGCTTAGTATGTAAGAACAACATACTTTCATTATGGTTCTTGTGACTGGTCTTTGCAATGTCTTGTTTCAGTATTTTGAGTCAACTCACAAGCAGCGAATTCACATCCGCCAGGAAATTTACCCTCCTACTCAAATGAACCAGAAGAAATCAGTGGCAAACACTCATTCTGTCAGTGTTGGTGGTGCTCAGCCAGCCACAGCTCCTAGCAAAGACTTGCACAGAATATTTATTTTTTTCTGGCAAAAATATTTTAAAAAATATGATATTACAGGATAAAAAACCAAACAAAACAAAACCCCAAGTGTGCCTCCTTCTTCTAACCTTGAACATAAATGCAAAGTATATCATGCAAATTGTTCCACAGATTAACTGAAATTTGCAAGAGGCTTACATGAATACCAAAAACGATATCTGTGTCTTGCTAAAATCTCCAAAACTCTGACAAAATCTTAACTCTAGGCTTGTTACCATCATTACAGGCCAAGACAATATTTTATTTGTATACAAGTAATCAAATTATATCTTACTTGCTTGTCACTAGGCAACCATTGATTTTAAGATGAGTGATCAATTTTTGGAGACAAAGAATAAGCTAAACATAACCAGGGGTTACCAGTTAACCCTTTAAATAATCATTAAACCCAAGGAATTGCTCTCTTCTCTCCCCAGAAATCCATTCTCTTTAACCCTGAAAGAATCACAGCGGGTACCTTTGTGCGATTTTGCTATACCAGTCCCTGCGTTTAATTATGTAGGGGATACAAAAACGTTTGTATCAAAAAAGAAAATGAAAGCAAGCATGAGAGACAAACTTCAGTGTATCTTAAATCTTTTCTAAAGCTCAGGACTTTAAGGTGCTATTGAGCCATTTTACCGTGTCTCCTACAACCTCCTAGCAAGAGTATTTTTATACTGTTTCTGTACTTTTTGGGGGGTCTCTTTTTACCTCTGCCACAACATAGCCTAAATGCTTCTTCTAATGGAAGCTGCTCCAGAAATGTGTTTTCTCCCTTGGTTAGCAGTCATCTTCAAGCATCTAGACTGAAGTTACTTGTAACCTATCTACATTCACTTGTTCTGGCATCAATCACCCATTAGTTTATCTAGCTCCCTCCCATTGTGCTCAGTCTCTAGATTTACCTGTGAGGAACAACCCCGTTCTCTGCCTTTGATAGGCAAAATAGATCAGCCTGTTAGCTTCCTTGCGCACTAGAGGATCTCTGCCCTCTTGATATCAAGTGTCTCCAACAGTTCTGATCAGCCGTTATTTTTCTTGAATATGCTCCCATCCCCTTCTTCCAGATCTGTACTTCAACAGCGCCTTCCACTAATATCTCCTCTCTTCATGGGAAATGTCTTTCCTGATGACCTGCCAAGTATATCTGCCTAGAAGTGAGAAAAAGATCTGGCGTGATTATTGCTTAAAATAAGTCATACAAGGTGGCAAGCAAACAAAACCAAACAGCCTGTCTACAAAACACTTCAGACATCCGTACCAGGGAAAGAAGTGTAGGAAATTGAATAGAAGACCCTGAACACGTGAAATATTAAGCGTGATTATCTATGCCAATTAGCACAACTGCGACTGGATGGGGTAATTGGGGCAGGCTGGATGTGTAGCAGAGCAAGCCTGTTCAGGAGGACAGAGGGGTGGGGGAAGAGATGCTGTCACTCGTGCCAGGGGAGCACCCCCTTGGAAGTGGAAGATGTTGCGCTGGCAGTGCTCAGGTAAAGGTGAGGAGACCCAGCACCCTGTCAGAAAAGCAACGCACATAGTTGTCCAAAAATCTGTCTCCCAGTTTTTGGAAACAAAAGCAAATTCTATTACGAGCTTTGACAGAAAATACGAAGAAAGGAGCCAGAGAAGGAGACCTCCGATGGTCAGCAGCGCTTCCAGGAGAATCAGCTGTGCACACATAGTCAGGTCAAGTAGCATAATTACATGCTAGTTTTGCATTTCCAAGAAAAAAAAAGGAAGAAGAAGAACAGTGGACAGTAAGACAGAAGACACCAGACTCAAGGAACTGCTTATATTTCACTGGCAGAAAAGTAGTACACTTCTTCAGGGAACAATTAAAGCAATTGCACTGTCTAAAAAAAAAGAATGAGGAAACTTAAAAGGAGATCAGCTTGACAAAGTCATGGGTCCTCAATAATCTGATCTCGGGAAGAAAGTATACAACAGGAAACTAATGAGGAACAAAAAACTTTTTGAAGCATGAAGGACAGAACAAGGCTGTCCAAGGCACAAAGGCAGATCCAACAGGCAAAGGTCACAAAGCACAGAAGAAGACACTCTGTCCACACAAACCCACACACATCGTAAGAGGAAAAGCACAGAAAGAGATAGCACAAGCAAAGGCAATGTTTATTCATTGTCTGCTTTTAAGTCACATTCAAAAGTTTGCATTTTGCTTTTGTATTGGCTTACTCCACCAGCTGCAGATCTTTCATATCTTCCTACAGAAATGCTTATTTCTCTTCTGTCCCCAGAACTACCCTACCTCATCAAGGTTATTTTCAATATTTATCCTGTCCTCCAGCATGCATTATACCCCTCACAATTCCATGGCATCTGAGAACTCAATGGCACACTCCATCTCCTAGGCAAAACATGGGTTAGTGTGGAACGCAAACCAGACCCTTGCAAGAGCCCATCCAACACATATTCTACTTCTTTCACAATATTCTCAGTGGCAAGCTTGTTTGAAATCTGAAATCCAAGTCTTGCACCCAGCTTGTTATACATTGCCTTGGCTATTTTCTCTAGCTTATGTACTGTACGAGCATGTAATAAATAACCATATCAAAAGCCCTAATAATGCCAAGATAGATGAAATTTACTTCTTCCTCTCTGTCCGAAAGACATGTTATCCAGTCAAAGCAAGAAATAATACTGGCTCAACACAACTTGATTATAATTCATCTCATTTTGATCTTTCAAGTACTTACACGTATTTGGAATTTTTATTCCACGATTTATCTGGATATTGGAGTTGACTGGTCTACAACCACCCATCCACCTCTTCTCCTCCTTCCCTTCCCCCTCTTCCTTACTAAAAATAAGTACCACAACTGTTTTCTCAGTACTTTCCCTGTCTTCCAAGTTTGCAGACAGTGCAAGCAGCTCTGATTTTCAAACAATTTCAAACAATTTTTATTTGGGGGTGCCGAAAATGGCTGACACAACATCCTGCCTCTTCATTGCTGCTATGAATTCTATTACTGGAGAAGGACAATAGCTCTTCATAGTATAAATTACAGACATGCCTCCCTACAAAGATTATCTCCAAATAGCTCAGAATCCAACAACCACTGCATGACAGCATGACCTCATGCTACAAGGAAATCAATTATTTAATAAATGTTTGAATCACTGAAGTTTATAAAAGAAGATTTTACATCCTTCACTGTCAGCACTTCACGTTTCCATGTATCAAAACATTAAAAAAAAAATCAGGGCACCATTTCTCAGAGCAGTAGCAATAGCTTTATAGACCAGAACTTTAAGATTAATTAGGAAAGGAACAGGTATTCCAGAAACTGATCCACTTCTGCACAGGTTATTTTGTTGGTTTTTTTTCTAATTGCATTCTTTCCAAGAATGCAAAATCTAAATCCAGAAGGAGACACCTGTAAAACATGGCACATTAGGAAATTTGGTGTATTTGGAAGGAATTAGTAGAAGTTAAACTACTATGAAGAGTCATCTAACCCATTTATGAAGCACATAAAATTTCAGATAGCTACATGTAACAGGAAGTCAGAGTGTTATGATCTCAAAAAGACCAGCGGCTATAGGAATACTTACTAAAGCTTCCAGAAGTACACAGCATACCCAACCTTATTAAACTGGCATCCATTAAGGATATGGCCTAAGCCAATGACGAGCTAAGGGGAAAGTTTCATACCCACTGCAGCATACAAATTCAATATGTAAAATATCAGCCACTTAAATTTCCAAAGTGGTGAGACTACAGCTCCTGTTATCAGAGCACAGTATTTGATGTAATCCTCCAAATATGTTTTGTAGCTAACAGAAAGGTAAACATGTCCATGCAGAATTTAACTTCGCAGCCTACCCAGACTGCCAAGTTTCAGCTGGTACGTGTTAGCCAAAATCTGTAACACTAAACAAGCATTGCACAAGATGTCTCTCCCAATCTCCGAGCTGGGCTTCACTCACCTAAATTCGGAGTCAGATAAAGACTCCGAACAACTTCAAGGGTTTAATGGCTTTGGAGATGAGACTGAAGATATATTCTCATTTTTGCAAGTTGCTGAATTCAGGCAACTTTCTTTGTTGAAGATCTACTCAGAATTCTCAAATGTGATTTCAGGTAAGATCAAAACTGCATTAATCTCTACCACAGAAGGGGGATAGTCAAAAGCAAAAACCATATTTGTTGAATAAATGCATTTTATTCCGAGCTCAGACAGTTTTTGTTCCACAAAAGCATCTGAAATAACATGGTATCTTGAGATGTACAACTATGCACTTCAGTTAAAAAGTATCAGGTGCTTTATGACCATCAGTATTACTAAATACCTAAGTGGCAGAGTTCAGAAATTTTTGGCTTCCTGACCTGTTTGACTTGAAGCTCCACCAGAGATAATATATGCATATCATAAATAATTCTTCTGGTTTTAACAGGTCTTTGTATCCCATAATTATCTTCTGCTTTGAGAAACTGTAGAGCATTACTTCTGTCTAATGGGTCATTTTCTTCAGGGCAAGAGGCAAATGAATAATTATAAAATTAATTATATCTGCATGCTTCTTTTTCCATGTCAAAGGAATGATCAGGAGGACACTTAGTGGTAGTTCTGAGTGCGTAGCTACCTAATTGTTAATGACAGTACTGAGTGACAGCAGCCCTGAGCTGAAGCAGTTAACTGCATAATAATCACTGTGGTGCATGCCATTGGATTCAGCTAGCATTACACTTCCCAGTTTATCAGTTTATCACTCTACAAATCAAATGGACTATCTTTCCGCCTCGGCACGTCTACTGATGCTACTTTTTTTGCGTATCTTATTCAGAAGTATGTATCTCTGAAATCAGTCTGTATTCATGCCCCTAAAAGGGCAAAATGATTGTCTCACAGATGACGCAGAAAAGGGAAAGCAAACAAAATCTTCACTGGTTATTGAAAAGGAAAATGGGAAATCAGATTGCTTTTTGATAAATTACAAAACAAATAATAAACTACATGAGAAGCAGCATCCTAGTGTTTCCATGATATGCAGCACCTTTACTTTGGCTCTACTGTCGTGGTTTAACCCCAGCTGGCAACTAAGCACCACGCAGCCGCTCCCTCAGTCCCCCTCAAGAAAGGATGGGGAGGAAGTGAATTGGAAGGGTAAAAGTGAGAAAACTCGTGGGTTGAGATAAGAACCGTTTAATAATTGAAGTAATAATAACAAATTGTCATGAAAAGGAAAATACCAAAGAGAGAGAAATAAAACCCAAGAAAGACAACTGATGCAAATAAAAACAATTGCTCACCACCAAACGACGATGCCCAGCCAGTCCCCGAGCAGCTGGTCCCCCAGGCAGCCTTCCCCCTGGTTTATTGTTGAGCATGATGTCATATCGTATCGAATGTCCCTTGGGTCAGCTGGGGTCAGCTGTCCCAGCTGTGCCCCCTCCCAACTTCTTGTGCACCCCCAGCCTACTCGCTGGTGAGGTGGGGTGAAAAGCAGAAAAGGCCTGGAGTCTGTGCAAGCACTGATCAGCAGTAACTGAACCAGCCCTGTGCTGTCAACGGTGTTTTCAGCACAGATCCAAAACATAGCCTTATAGTAGCTACTATGAAGAAAATGAGCTCTACCCCAGCCAAAACCAACACACCTACCGATGTGGAGTAATGAAGTGCTTTCCACGAGCCTTTGTCATGTGCCTTCCATGCTGCTCCAGAGCAGAGGTCCTTCTTTCCCACCCTACTGCCAGCACCCTCAGACAGCAAGGGAAGGGCACCCTTTAACATCTGCACACCAAGGCAGAGTCAGCAAACACTGACAGGTATCTGCAAAGGCCAGCACAAACACTTGCTACAGCTGACAGAGCGCATCAAGTTTTAATTGAACATTAAAAATGCTTTGCGCAAGCCATGCCAAATTTTCTCCTGCTTGTGGGCAGCTGGAGTGAACAAGCCACACACAACAGGTATTTCTCTTCAGCACTTGTCCTCCTTTCAGAAGTCAACCAGCCTGATTTTACTTAACTTATCCTAAAATAATCTATTAACAATATAGTCAGGCTGGGAACAGACATGACTTTCTTCAGTTCGAAAGTAAAGGGACACAAGAATAAAGCAGCAACCAAGAAGCTGCTGGATCATCAATTTTATGTATAATTGAAACTAAGCATTACAGTCACCTCAAGGGCTTTTTTCAGCTTAAAAACTCTACTCTAGCCCACTTCCTACCCTCCAAATAGCCTTGGAAGGGAAACAAAGTCCTTCACCCTTTTTTTTTGCTGAAGATATTTTTAGTAAAGAATGATTTACGAGGTATCCTGATAATCACAGAAACAGAGATGTCTTAGTGAAGCATGCTTTATTTGCTTTTCCCATACCTGCACTGTGTGAATTTGTTTAATCTCCTAACTCTTCAGCACTTATTACACAGATACTGAAAAATAAAAGCTATATGTGAATCCCAGTCCACAGTTCCAGGAGTACTTCCAAATTGGGCAATTCCATTTTAAAAAGCATGAACACTGCGGGGTGCACCAGCAGCCAGATCTCCCCCAGTAAGCAAGGCATCATAACAGCAATTTCAGTCTCTTGGGGCTAAAGTATCCTGCATTCTTGATTGCACCTTTAGCTTTTCCAGACTGTCTAGCTTATAGCCTTGTGCCAGAAATCTCCACGTGGTCCATAAAATAGTGCAGCACAGGCTGCATCTTCTCATGCCGTACATGCTAGCAACCCCTTTCCAGCCTGCCCCTTACCGTTTTTATCAGCTGCTGACTCTGCTGGATTGACACGGAGCATGTGACAGTCATTTCACATGTAGCACAACCAAAACCTGTCTCACCTCCAGAGCAACACGCAGAGAGCTGCCTAGGTGAAAGATGAGAATGATTTACAGCCTATCCAGTCTTTCCCCTCCTCCTTCTCTCATTTTTCTGGTGCCCCTGTTTATACAGAACCAGGCAAACGTGGTGATGTAATTTAACAAGCAAAAACCTACGTGGGAGCTGACTGTGGCTGACACCCGTGGTGCCAGCCAGCGCTGCACACATATGCATGGTTTTGTCATTTTATTCTTAAACAAATACTCGCCTTGTTTGAGCGCAGTGATGCCAACGCACTGTAAGAGGTCAAGGCGCTGAGCAGTGGCTCAGTCCCTGACAGACACACGTAGCCCAGGACATGAGCAGAGCTTCATCCCAGGCGTTACCCCTGGAGCTGTCAGCACAGGCAGGTCATGAAATGACCCCACTTCTGTCCCACTCAGCCATCAGCCCATCTCCTGCCACGACAGCCAGGCTCTCACCAGGCTACCCCTGCAGAAGGAGTTTATCATCAGGCTGATTTCATTCTGGCAGGATTGCTAGGAATAGCCAGGAGAGCTGACTAGGGAAAAAGAAACAGGTTAGACTTCGAGTTTATTCAAAGAGGCTCTCCAACATTTTCATAATTAGTGTTGCACAGGGAAAGTCATGCCAATTTCACCTTCTTGCTATTTGGGTGGTTGTTTTTTTTTTAAACACTGTTTTAAAAGAAACATCAGTCTGCCATATTTATGATCTTCAATTCCTGTCTGTGATGGGGCAAGATAACCACAAAGTATTCTCACAAAGTGCTTCTGGAGGGAAAAGCAAAACGCTGTAGTCTTCTACTCCCCTGTGCCCACAGATCGTGCAGACAGCTTGGGAAGGGAAGGTTGTCACACCCCAGCTGCCTGTGAACACCAGCCACCTTATCATTCATATGGAGCCGGTTCCTCCTCAGCACTCTCGGGCTGGCACACCCTGGGCACAGGGCTGAAAAGGGAGGGAAGGAATCCCTGAGTAATTAATGAGTTTGTTTACCAGCTGGTCTGGCTCTGTCCTGCCTTTGCATGCTCCCCCTGGTTCGTCCTAAGACACTCATCCAAGCCTAGCAGCAGCGACTCCAACCTTGCCAGTCCTGAGCACTTTTTATTTTTATGGACCTGGAAACTTTAAGTGCTTCTAGAAAAGGGGGAAGATTAGATTCAATTGGCACCAGAAGGACCTGGGACATAAGTATCCTACTGAATTCAGAGAGCCAAGGGATGGAAGCAGGCATCCCATTTGATTCTCGAAAGACGTGCCTCAGGTAAAATGCCTTGAACACTTTCTGAAGCTCATGTTGGAAACACCTCAGGGGCAGGGACCAGAAGGATGTCCTCCTTTCCCCCCCTCCCTGATGGGACTTCCCAGTCTTGTTCTGACCACAGCAACTTCTTGACTGCCTGGGTAGATCTCCATCTTGGATTCCGATAAGCTTGAAAGGTCACTGCAGGATCTAAGTTTCCTTGGAGGGCTCCTAGGTAATTTGCCTACCAAAAGTTACTGACAACAGAGGGCTTCTTTTCAGGGCAATGGCTAAGAAAATACCTTTTGACAGTCAGTGAGAGGCAGGTTTCCATCAGCTTAAGCCTGATTCCAGCACCTCGTTAAATGTTATTCCAGGATCCTTCCTCAGGTGGCTTTTAGATGAACAGAGGACACTTCTTACATGGGGAACACAGCCTTGTGCTGCACACGGACTCCAACCAGCGTGATCGGGAAGGACAGAATAGGAAGAGGCTGATAATCTTTCAAGGAGCAAAAGTGGAAAAGCTGGTAATTGCTAGCACTTCCCATACACCAGACAACTGTTGGTAACCTACACGCACACCGACATCCACATGCCAAAGTGCACTGAGAACCTAGCCCAAGAGAGACCAGTCCTTGAGTGATGAGGTCTAACTGGCGGTGACGACAGTGGTGCCCACGCACCATTGTATCTTCTTATTGTTCTTTATGTAATCCATTTTCAAGGGAAAATACTCCTGATATTTCAGTCCAAACTGTCTATAATGTTAGCTTTGCAGTCACATATGCACTGTTGTAGCCACTAAAACACTGCTTGTGAGACAGACTTGGCTTTTTAAGAATTTTGCAACCTGCCCACACAGCACGGGCTTGGTTTTGCTATTTCACTCAGCCATGGTGAGGCAGCAGGAGAGGCGGCTGCTGCCAAGGGGGTCGTGGCCACGGGCTGCTGTGGGGCTAACAGAATTCTCCATAGCACACTGAGGCCTCGAGTCCTGCTTTTTAGGGTACATTCTTTGTTTACCATCTCCAAGTGCTAAGAGCCA